TCATGTTAGTGCTATGAAAGCTCAGAGATCGAAAGTCACCAAGAGACGTCTGTCTCCGGAAACATTCGAGCTGATACACCAGCGTTAAATCGCACGAGCTGCAGGCAACCGCGAACTGTTGTTGAAGAAAGGTTACATCCACGATGTCGGCAACTATCGCAAAATCTGCTTGCTGTCTGTCGTCTACAAACTTTTCACTCGAGTCGTCCTAAACAGAATTGACAGAACACTGGACGAAATACAGCCATGTAAGTAAGCAGGGTTTCGAGAAGGATTTAGTACGATGGATCACATCCACACGATAACAGGGCTCATTGAAGTATCGCGAGAGCACAAAAGACCGCTCTGTATCACTTTCATCGATTTACAGAAGGCCTTTGATACAATTAAGATAGCAGTTCTGGAAGCCCTTGATACTCAAGGAGTCCCTACTCACCACATAAAGATTCTTCGTGAGCTGTACAAAAATTTCACAACTAAGATATCACCATTCCACAATGATATTAACATTGACGTCAAAAAAGGAGTGAGCCAAGGCGATATCGAGAAAATTATTTAATGGCACCCTCCAGAACGCCATGCGAACATTGGAATGGGATAATAGGGAAGTGAAAATCGATGGTCGGCAGTTACAGCGTCTTCGCTTTGCTGATGACATCGTCCTTATAACACCAAACATTAGCCAAGCGGACCGTATACTTGCCGACTTTGATAAAGCACACAAAAACGACCTTCATGAGGAACGGATTGGTTTCGCATGCCCCATTTACGCTCAACGGAACGAATATCTCCGAATGCTCCAGTTATATCTATCTAGGTCGGGAAATCAATGCGATGAACGACTTAGCGCGAGAGCTGAGCAGAAGAAACGGGCGGCTTGGGAGCTTTCAAGAGCTTCGAGGATGTAGTGAAAAGAACAAAGAACACCCGACTCCGTGCCCACCTTTTCGACTGAACGGCACTTCCTGCCCTAACTTATACGTCAGAAACTTGGTCGCTGCGTAAGCAGGGTGAAAGATCATTCAGCGTTATCGAACGTGCAGTGGAAAGGACGATGCTAGGAGCATCCCGTTTCAAACAAGTAAGGGATGGGATCCGAAGCTCCGACCAGCGTCAATGATCAAAAATCAAAGATGCCTTTCTGTACGCCAAACAATCGAAGACAAGCTGGGCCGGACACGTAATGCGTATGAACGACAACCGACGGACAAGAGCCGTTAGTGGTTGGATTCCTCGGGATGTCAAACGTAATGCAGGAAGACCACTGACCCGATGGTCATAGTTCTTCACAAAGAGCCTTGAAGAAAGATATGATGCTCGACGAGTCCCTTGAGCGAGCAGAACCCACTGGGCTGCTCATGTACGCGACAGGGAAAAATGGAAGATTCACTGGCATCCGCTCGAGTCACTCGACGATCAACGGGACTACAGGTGACAGTTGATAGAAGATTGTACCAGAAGATTGTACGCATTGTGTTGCGTCTATTGAAACGTTCTTAAAAGTAGTGTCTTCTATAGCATATACATCTAGTGCTAATCTGTTTAGCACGTTCAGCAGCGTACTGCCGATCGTGCTTCTCTGTAATGGCATTTCAACATCCCACACATCGTACCCATATTTTCGAACCCATGCTGCTCGTTTCATCAACGAACTGAGAAGTGGACGGTGTCGAAGTACTCCTGTATCGATAATAACACAAGTAGACACCCATTCTGTAGTCACTGAATGAGAAAGCTTGCTGTCTGTGCTCATTGTATTAGGTTGTTCAGAAATAGATGAGCGTTCTTAACAATGCTGCTTTAAATGTCGTAACTTGGTTCGAACAAAAGTTCATTAATCAAAATAAGAACCATTTGAACCTACAAACTTTAGCCAATGAAGAACAAGTTTGTTTATTTCAGCTGCGTACAATTCTGGTGTTCTGGAAGCGATGAATTCATTGAAGGCATTTTTCGCGCCGTCATGGTTGGTGAAGTATTTTTTGCGCAGGAAGTTGCCAAGGTGCTTGTATAAGTGATAGCCGGTAGGCGAGAGATCTAATGAATATGGGGATGAGACAAAGTTATAGCCTACCTCGTTCAACCTCTGCGGCGCTTGTTACGCAACGTGAGGCCGGGCGTTGTCGTGCAGGATCGCTCCATTTCTCTCGGCTAATGCCGGTCGTTGTTGTTGGAGCTTACGGTGCATTTCGTGGACTCGTTGGCAATACTTCTCTGCCGTAATCGTTTCGCCCGGATTCAAAAAGCTGTGGTGAAGTAGCTCGGCTGCAGACTACGAAGTAGTCGGCATCACCCTTCTCTCGTACAATTTCGGCTTTGGGAAATGCTGTGGAGCCTGATCGCAATCCAACCATTGAGTTGACCATCGCCGGCTGTCGTACAGAATCCATTTCTCGTCGCATTTCACAATTCGACCAAGAAAAGGGTCCTTTTGTTAGGCAGAATAAGACCAGGCGGCACTTCAAAAGTCCATTTTTTAAAATTATCGCTTAATTCGTGCTGGACCCACTTGCCAAGTTTTTTTGTCTTTGTTATGCGATTAAAGTGAGTGGAAATTGTTCCTGTGCTTGCGCCAAGCTGTTCTGCAAGCTCTCGAACAGTCGTTCGCGTGTTTGCTTCCACTAGTGCCTTCAGTTCGTCGTCGTCAATTTCACTGGGACATCCACGGCCTTCCTTAACATCGAGGTAGAAATCACCAGATCGGAATTTCTGGAGCCATGTTCGCACTGTTGATTCACCAACAATGCCTTCACTGCGAACTTCATTAAAGTTTCGAGCCGTCTCTAAAGAAAATTTGACGAAAATTCATTTCTGACAGCTAAAATGGCAAAGCTCAAAATTCGTGGAAAAATATTTAACTTTTGACAAAATATTATGAAATTCACAATGTTCACGTTTTATTTTCTGCCTTCTATTATTTTTATGGCAGGGTATTAAGAAAAATACAACCACAAGACTGCTGAGATATTTGCAAAACTCCGGGCCGCATCTGTCTGCGGTGGGGAACGAACGCGCTATTGTCCTTTCCGGGGAGTAACGCGTTCAGCACCACACCATTCGGGTCTATCTCTGAACGGCACGTTGGATTCCTCAAAACACAACTATTCCCAAGTCTGTATATTTTGCTGAAGTTCATGTTGATTAGGTAGATTACTGGCCTAACCTTGTACAGTTTACCTTGTCTTCCTTAACTTGCAATGCCAGCAAAATGTAGGTTTGACAAAAGCCTTTCAGTATTTAGCCAGTCTTTCACACTAATAGTGTCACCATCAATCACCCGTTAACGGGAATGATCTGCGGAGCATAAATCGACAGTGAACTCAATTAAAAAATTATGGTCAGTAGATGAAAGTTATACATGGTGATTTCGATTACAGCCTCAGCTTAAATGGGTTGACTGAAAGAAAGGCAGAACGAGAGCCTCAATGGTGCAGCGGGTAACATGTGAGTCCTTGGAGAGGGTAATCACAGGTTAGATTTGCCCTGGCGTCTAAGTTTTGCAAATATCTCAGTTTTGTTTCATTTAATAAACTGCCGTGAAAAAAAATGAGCAGTAGATAAACGTTGTAAGTTATGTAAAGTATCCTCCTAACGGTTTACCGCCTCATTGTGGCTGGGAGGTGTTCCTGGGTTTCGGGCTGCCATGTACATCGCGATAATTCATCCCACTGGTAGGGCTTCCCAAGCCCACAAGTAGTGCGGCGTTTCTGTCAGAACCAAGTTAATTGGGTTCCACTATGTGTGGAGCTTTGTGGGAACGTCTACAGTTCACAGTACACTATGCAATAAAAATTTGTTTATCGAATGTAAGTGAACGTGTGGGCCTACAGGTGTACAAATGAATGAGATTTCAATAGCGTATGGGTGTTATGGATTGAAATGAGTAACGTCGTCATTAGGGGAGCGTGTAGAGCAATGGTTAGAAGCGCCCCGCGATACACATGGGATCGATTCCCGCGCTACTGGCCCATCAAGCCCCCATCACTACAGAGTCGACAAATTGGTACCACACGCCTTGGAGGATAGCAACACTGGCTCAGTACATCGATATGCCACCACGAGTTATTGTAAAGGCTAGAGATCCATTCAATCACTTCCAACGATGCTTAATGAAGTCGAATACACAGTGCATCCATCCATCAGGGATTGATAAACGCCGAAAGCTTTACCCTTCATCCTTTGTAACGTCGTTATTGTGGATTTATTCTTCCATTTATTTCTTACGTAATGCTGTGGTCATCGCAGAGAGCCAAGACGAAGACCAGGGTTCATCACCTTGCCCCGATGATTTCTCACTTCTGTTCTCCCACGAGGTTCTTTGTGATGATGAAGAAAAACTAGCGCTTGTTCCGACAAAGATAAAAAACCCCAATAATGGACGAGTTTCCTCAGGCCATTGGTCGTTTGAATGAACCGCTGAAGTGGAGATGGAGCGCTGTTATACTGAAGCAAGCTTTGAGGTGTAATAGTTACAGCTTCGAATAGTAGAGTACGTGTAGTCATTGTTGTCCTTTTTTTCGTTAGTTTTAGGTTCATTACAGTATTTAGAAGTGTGGACGTATAATGGTCCATGTGGCATGCAATGTAATGCTGAAGTAAATAGGTACAATTTGTATTTAGCAGTAGTAAGATCCATGATGACCACGCTACATAACACCTTGGCCATAAAGTCACAAGTGTAGAGTGTGTGAAATTTGACAACTGTAAAGCTACTTTTGGCCACAAATGTATGTTAATCGACACCGGTCCAGTTTCTGTGCTTCCATACTCCGTTTCTGTGACCTTCTAATCCTTTCCTCATACCATCGTTTACCATCGATGTTTTAGTGTTTTCAGATGAGGTCATGATTTTTGGAAACTAGGAGTCAGCATGAGATTGCAAGTTCATGGCTTGTTTATTTTACTGTTTGCTCTTTGGACGCATATTTCAGCAAATGGAGGTAAAGCAACAAGAAGTGAGTCCTCTATCTGATGTTTATGAAAATATCTCTGAAAAATCTATGAGCTTAACCGGCAATTTTTACGCTGAGGAAAATACCCAAGTGGCATATTTGCTCCTGTTCTATTTCTCATTCACAGTCACAATCCGCTCGGTCGTGCTCGGTATGAAAGATAAAAGAAAAAAAGTCTCGGTGTTGATCAATCCGCTAGGGATGCGCCGTGCATTCGACTTCTTTAAACATCGTTGGAGGTGATTGAATGCATATCTGGCCTTTATAATGATTCGCTGTGGCTTACCGATGTATCGAGCCAGTGCTGCTATCCTCCCAGACAAGTCTGGTTCCAATTTGGCGACCCCGGAGGCATGGTAGGCTTGGTGGACTATAGACGGGGGATCGTTCCCATGGGTATTGCCGAACACCTCAGAGCATAGCTCCAGACGCGCCTTTGTATGCTACGTATACTAGTAGTAAATTGGGTGAATCAACATCTGCTAAAGTAGCAAAAAACAGGCATGAGTGGTGAATGTGTTTAATATAGTTTGCTGTTTACTTTTTATAACATAGCATTCGGTTTTTTTACGGCCTGTCTTTTTTCATTTACTGTAAAGTTATGAAAACTTTTGTTTGGACGAGTTTTACTCCCTGTTTCTGAAAACACTTCTGAGTTTTTACAGATGTGGTGGTAACGGCTGAAGAAGAAAAGGTGCGTGATTCCCTTGGATACATGGCTATTGCTGAAATTCACCGAGAAATGGACGATGATCATTCTGGATCTATCGATAGAAAGGAAACCACAGGAGTGGGTAAATCAAGGACTTCGAGTCTAGATGCTTTGGTTTTTCTTATCCACCGTTTTCTAATCTTATTATTTCGCGAGCCCATTGTAGGAATAAATTGTAAAATATTGTGGTGTGTCTCGAAAATGGAATATCCTTCGATGATCTGAACGACGAAAGCCGGATAGCTGTCGAGGGCCCCGATTCATTTTAAGGAGACGTTGTCTTATTTCCTTGTTTATTGTGGACAGCTCCTTCGATGTGGTTGAAATATCAGCTCATATTTTCATTTAATAGCGCAGAAGTGAAGGAACTTTTCCTTCGAATATGTGAGCCCTTTGACCGGGATGAGCAAGCTGATCACTGGACTGTTCCAGAGATCCGGAGGCGCGCCTTGCTTGTTATGTTCTACCAAATTCTTTTTTCACACTATCTATGCATAATTCGTTATCCACATTCATTGTACGTTCCAAATATACATGGGATGTAGTATTATGAACTAGTAGTCCTTCCAGAGTAATTTATTATTTTTTACACTAGTACTTATTCCTAGATTCGGTTTTATTTCAACCGATTGGTATCCAGTTGTTTTTGCCCCTTCTTTGAACTCAGTAAGCACTGCCTGTCCTTCTGCGCTACTGCTGGAAAAGGTGGCGATGTCTTTGGCGAAATGAAAGTTTTCGGACGCGTCAATACCTGATTGAACTAAAGCGGACCGGACGGTGTTGGTTTTGACGCTAAATGATCCGAATGCTAGTGTTATAAGAAGAAGGCATACTTCTTTTCTCAGCAAATTCCGTACGAAGGGGATACAAATGTAGTAACGCAAATCAACTAATAGGCTCATGTTGGCACGAATTGATTTCAATACACGCATACCTGAAAATAGTTCCTCTTCTCCACTTTAAATAAATATAGCTCGATTTACAATGGACTTTATTAATTGAAGTCAAAACCGTTAGAACCTGCAGTTCTTTGCTGACAAGACAAACTTCTGTTATTCTAGTCTTCATGCTTTTTTTAATCGCCACCCGTACTTGAACATTAAGGCAAAGGAACAGTCAGAATTCCGTGGACCAACACATGATGGTATTCCACGGTTATCGTTGATGTTCGTGGATGCTGCGTTTACGTTAGAAAGTTTTGAAAATATAAATTCATTTTTGTTGTTTTCGTAATCTTGAGCTACGAAGGAATTTGGAATTAAAATTTTACCTTGGGGAAAGTTATTTTACCTTTACAACGATAATTCACATATTCATTTATAACCTTGTGAAGTCCTCGGGTTCCCTGATAATCTAGTTACGAGGAAACGCCAGAACTTTCCAAACATCCAGCTTCGTCGCAAATGTGTTAGTCAGAAATGAAGTTTTATTCCTTCTTTACATGTTAAATGCTTCTCTTCAGTTCATGACAGAAGACATGCACATGCGTGGATCGGATCGACTGCGGCGTGAAAATGCATTTCATGGCAATGATGACGCCATCACAGTCGACGACCTTTGGGAAGCATGGTTCGAAAGCGACGAACGTTCGTGGACCAGTGAGCAGGTCTTTCTAGGTTTTTTGGTAATTTCAGTGCAGCTTCATTATCCTGTATAAATCAGTGCAACTTTCATTGCTCTGTAAAAACCTCGACGTTTCCCACTATATCAAAGCATTGCATTGCACTTTATTTTAGGTTTTAAACTGGATAGTGAGTGAGGTCAATCTTCCTATGTATGCGGAGAAAATCGTGCAGCTTAAAATCGATGGAAGATTTTTGCCGAGGTGAGATCTGTGATCGTGATCACTATAACCTCAATAAATTTGAATCCTCTGATTTTATTGAATGTGTACAGTTTAGGTTAGCTGTTCATAATTCAACGTTTATGACTAATGAACTTGGTATCAAGTCGTCAGTTCATCGTCAAAAGCTTCGTTTGAATGCTTTGGACGTTGTCTTATTCGGGCATCGAGATCCTTCTTCTAAGGGGAAAGATATAGCACTCGCTCTTCTGGTACTTTTATGCGGTTTGTCAGTGATTTCCCAGCGCCTTATGCTGTGCCGCATTTATAGCTCCTCTTACTCACCTCTGTGCTCATTCTCTATGCAAAACAGCGCCATCGTGCTCGTCTACAGGTGACTGAATTGTCACAACGCTTAAAGGAGTTGAAGAACATGGAAAATGAGTTTGATGACGTGCAGAAAAAATGGAATGAAGAACGAAGTAGACGGTGAAGTTTTTTTTTCTTCTATGATATTAGGATTGTGGACATCAATGGTTTTAGCTCAACTATAGATGCAGGTGTAAGTCAGACTGAAGTGAATAACTTGCGTGTCCAGTTAGAAGCAGCTGAGCGTAGGTGAGAAATACTTGGTTTATTACAACGTTCACTTTTTATTTACTCCCTACTACTATGTTTCACGGAAGGGTATAATGTAAAGTGCAAGCACAATGATACTGAGATATATTTGCAAAACTCGGGAACGCAGTTCTCTTTGGTTGGAACCGAACACGCTATTACTATCTATGCGTGTTAAAGCGTTCACCACCACACCATGTCGATCCTTCGTTTCACCTTTCAGCTAGTTTTCTACCTAACCTAGTTTATTGTTATTTCGGGGTTTATCTGTCAGGCATTGTTCAGAAACCGGTCTTTAGAACGTTCACGACGGGGTTTGTTTCTCAACAACTGCCGATAATTTCTCGGTAAGTAGAGTATTTGAGCATTTGACTTCTTGTCACGACTTGGTTTGTCAAGGTATCCTTGTTGCATAACTCTAAGAGTATATAACGTTTTCAAAGTTCTAGTTTTATATTTTATATCGAATTTCGTTTAAATCACATTAAAATGAAACTTCCAAATTACGATGCTTGTGAGCCACAAATGCCAACGATTTGATCAGTGGTGCCGTCATAATCTTCTAGAAGGAATCTCTCTTTGGGTCATTTAGCCAAGTTGCTTGACGAAAAAGGCGACAAAAAATGATGAGTAAATCGGAAAATTTCCGTCCTTCTTGCAGGGATCTTTGGATTATGATGTTATTTATTCTATTTAACAAGATTCATCGTGAACAGAGTTGTTTGTTCAAAGTTGAAAAGCCATGTTATTTTCGGCCAAATATGCACTGAAATCATTGTATGTCGTCCTGACTCTGTTTTTCGCATGAAGTTTTTTCATCTCAGCATTTGCAGTCGATATAAACTTTTCACTTGTTTTAGACTAGAAGAAAACTGTATCGGTAGCACTCCTCTCGCTCTGCAGCCACTACTGCGAAAGACTTGCGAAATTGAGATGGCATTTTTGGAGAAGCAGAAACAAGAGTTAGTTTTTACGTACATCCCATGTATATGGGAAACCTTTCTCCATTTTTCTTCAGATGCGTGAAGGAAATGCATGAAGCGATTGAATTAGTTGATAGACTTCAGAAGAAAACATCTAGTGTACTGTCATCGCTCAAGTTGGCAACTGGAGCATCATCTTCTAGTGACCAAGTTGACAGCAAGATATTTGCCCTCAAGTTCGTTTGCTTTGCAAATTGTACGACTTTCTCTGATTATTTCAACATTTTTGATTTTAGGAATCGTATGGACAAGATACAAGTACTCACGCGCGAAACCCAAGACCGCTGGTTGCAGATCGAGTCGCTTTGTGGCTTTCCTGTTTTCAATGTTGAGGGTAGGTTTTAATTATTTTAACTTAGGTAAATTTGTAGATATTTCTGTCAAGAACGAGTGTGGTTGTTTGCAATAGGAGTTTTATTGACGTTGCAACTTGCACTGCATGGACAGGTTGAGTAGTGTTCTTTGTGTTGCTAACAGGTTGCGGAATGAATGCACACTTTCTGAATGTAGCCCGATAAGTGTTTTGTGAATAAGCTTACGTGTAGAGAGGTTATGTCACCTTACAGTTATGTGTGTCTGTGCATGCAATAGTTACAGAAGCTATGGCGATCATGCCCACTTCGAGACCAGCGTCCCATTTCTATGTTTCCAACTCAGGTATGTTGTCATCTGAGAACGATACTTCGTCCAGTAGCAGCTTTCTCTAAGTGAACTAGAGAATCCCTTATCATCTAGTGTGATGTGATATGATGGTGTAGTTAATGCATTGCATGTGTGTGAATGCTTATTTTAATTTGGCTGTGCACTCTTGTTGTGCTTGCTTTGGTACATCTTGTTGCTTATGTAATTCATGTGATATAACACCGTGGTATTGTTCAAGATTAGTTTACTTTATGTTTAGGTCCGTTTTTTCATGTGTCCTCATTTTCTTTTTGTTCGCGTTGTGTCTTCAACTATCAGCAGATAGTGAAACGATTTTGGCAGCGTCCTCGAGGACCTGTGTTTCAATTAGGAATTTGCAGAGTTTAATAATTTTGCGTTAAAAGGTTTGAATTGATATAAGCGAGCAGGTAAATGTAAACTCACGAAAGCCACTGGGTCTTTGTTTGAGTGACCTTTCATAAAAGAGAACTTTGAGGACTTATCAATTAAATGGCAATACCAAGGTCTCTGCTCTCAAACCAACACATAACCCACAGAACAGTGTGTGTTTTCATATAGCCTAAGTAACATTATGTGGTACAATAGAATCGCTCTCATATATCTGTTTACTGTCATCCTAACCCTGATGATTAATTCATTACTTAGAAGTTGTTCTTCGTTTTGTTATTCTATCCCATAGAAGATTTTCAGTGACTGGAAAATGAGTGTCAATTCTGTGGTTGAGTGAGTTCTCCTGAATACCTTGTTTATGTTTGTCTGTTACATTTTTGCATTTTTATTGGTTTTAATTTACTTTACGCTTTTACTTAACATTACATATCGCAGTCCTGCCAAAGCTTAGCTATCGCTTGCTCGTAATTTCAGCTTCCTTGTCTGTTCCGTCAAAATTGTTGACATCGGCCGGAAGCTCTACATCTCATGTGAGCGCAGTTTCTGTCGGTGCGAATACCGCTGCTCCACCAGTGGTTCCACAAAAGCAGCCGACTTTTCTATCATCAGCAGCTTCTACAAACGAAGTAATAAACTCGAGGCCAGCTCATCTTTCACCTGATAACATAAGGAATGGCGTAACAAGTGGGCCGGCTTGGCCACACCACATGTGAGTTTTTATGACAGTACCGTTTTCTATTGGATTAAGCTTGCATACACGGCTAAAATTAAGAAGAATAATTTTTCTATTGCTTATTAATGCCTGGATTTGAAATTGGGGGAATCAGGTGGTAGTTATGTACTTACTTGGATATTTAGACGGCTCGTCCTCACTGGTTGTGCGGGCCTCAGCATGATTTCAGTTCTTCCGGAATTTTGCTGGTCTAAGTATTGTGATTCTCTGGAGTCCCGAGGTTATCCTGGCCAAAGTCTGCCTTAGGTAGTCATTACCACAGGCAGTCACCGCCATTGTTGATCAGTGGGAGATTTGTCACCATGCGACATAGTAGGACGATGGTGGTTACTGGTTTTAGTTTACTCTTAGCCAGGCTTCCTGATGGAAATGCCGTACGCCTCAGCTTAGAAGACTCCATTGGGGAAGAATGAATCTCCTCGCTTTACATCGCACCCCGACGCCCAGGAAAACCTCCCAGCCACGATGAGGCGGTAAACCGTTGGGAGGATAGTAATGCATAATAAGTGTTAATTACCCCTAAAGTGATACTGTAAAGCGTCTTCTATGATTTCGTAAAATGCTCGATTTATTCAGTCGTTGGAAGTAATAGTTATCGAAACAGCATCGTTCACTATGTGCTGACGGTCATCTGTGAATGATGGGCTACTATTAATAGTTGCGTAAATGTACTAAAATTAGCCCTCGTCCCACCGGTCCTCAAACGGGATTACCCTTCGTTATGCCTTAACCATTGTTACGAATGTGTTAAAGAAGAGATCAGCTGGAATCAAATGCTGTCTTGATTTCGGTATTGTTTGTTTACAAAGGGGAATATTGAATGCACGTCGCAGTTATTTTGCTTCAAAATTGTCGCTTTACGCGAAACTAGATCCATATTGGTTCTTGCTAAAAGATCGATTGTTTTAGATTGACGGAGGATTCGTTGTCGTTGTCCTCATCGGATGGAAAGAAGAGACGAGGCTTAATGAAGTTCTTCAAGAAAACGGGATCTAAAGGCAGTATCACATCGTAGTTGTATTGAGACATGACAACATTTGACATGTTGGTATTTCATTCGTAGAACAGTCCTTTTAGTGTTTTTCGGAGTATGTTCCACCTTCACTTATTGTTTTAGTGAATCCTAGACCCGGAATCCGTTCTATTCCGAATTGCATCCGCTCTTCCTGTCCAACACGGCGTATTGTTTATCATTTCATACTAATTTTCACATCTTTTGCATGCTATTTTCTACTCCCATTTACCCGGTGACTATAATCGCATCGTGGTCGTATTGTGATTGAAAGATTTATCCTCTACATGCATATCGCCAAGGTTTCATATGTTTTGCAGAAGCCTTCAGTTATCTTGCTCATTTAAGTCCTAATAAAATAGGTCATAGATCGTTCGCATTCTGTTGTTTCTGAGTTCAACGGGGTTTTCTTCCTCATCGTATTTACAGCCAGGTGACACTATCTGATAAGAGTATCAGATAAATACCCTTAGGTTCACTATTGATCCCATCTTACACTAGTATTGCGTACTGTAATTCTCTACCCTTCAATCTAATAAATGTTCGAAGCTTTTTTTTTCAATTTCACAGTGTTCTAGAACTTCAATCTTATTGCTGTTTTTATGCAAATATGAATGACATGGGTTTTATCGTATTCCTAGCTAAGATTTGCCCGAAACAAAGGCTAAAGTGTTCTTTGATATTTTGCTATCTGCTCGCTAATTTTCTTAGGTTGGTTTTTCAGGAAAGGAGAATGGATGGTTTAGCTGGAAAGGTTGGTTCTGCGCTGAGAAGTGGGAAGAAGAAGGATGAAAATCTTCATGTTGTGAAGATTAAAAGGATCCCGTATGGATTCTTTGAAAAGGTTGAGTGATTGACTGGTAGTATATGAATTGTAAAACGAATGCATGTCTGGATCGGTATATCGTGGTAGAGTTTTGTCTTGAGAGGAAATCTACTACCTCCATTGCTAGTATGCACCTATGTGCGACGGTAATTACTAAGTTTTTTTTAAATTTCAAATCAAATTTTGTGTAAGATCCTATGTGCACTTGAGGTAATTCGAGGTTGTTATCACGGCGTTTGCTTCAGAATCATTAACGTGTTAGCAAACTTAGCATTACCCATAGTAGAGCCTTACTTGGATACTTGGACGGCCTTTCTTCACTAGTTCTGTGGGCTGCAGCATATTCTCCACTTTTCGGAGTTTCACTGGTTTAACCATTGTGTTTTCCTGGAGTCTTGAGATCAGTCTGGCCAAAGTCTGCCCCAGGTGTTGGATCCTGGTATTGGTTTACCAGTTACATAGTAGAGTCAGTTGTCTTAATTGGGTTCAAGGCCGATTTGTGATACCCAGATCACACCCGTTGGCGAGTGATTGCTGATGGCAGCATTAGGTATGATACTGACTGGGAAAAAGACAATGATGACCTCAGTGGTGCCGTGCGTAACACCTGAGCACCCAAAAAAGGTAATCGTGGTTGAATCTGTCCTGGGGTCAAATTTTGCAAATATCTCAGCGTCATACCTTGCTGTGACAAATAATAATAGGTAGTGAGTGAACAGTTAACATTTCTCATAGTGAAATACAACCACAACGTTGCCGAGATGTTTGCAAAACTCTGGACCGCAGGTGTCTATGGTGGGGAACGAACGCGCTATTATCCTTTCCGGGGAGTAACGCGTTCACCACCACACCATGCGGATCCTTCGTTTCGCTTGTCTCTCAGCTATTTCTATCGATCTTTGCCACAGCAATCACCCGTCAGCGGGGTTGATCTGGGGAGCGCAAATCGGCATAGAACCCAGTTAAGCTGTGGCTGTAGTTGAAATCACAATGTTTAACGTTTTTGTTTTCTGCCTTCTATAATTTTCATGGCAGGACACCTGCGGTCCAGAGTTTTGCAAACATCTCGGCAACGTTGTGGTTGTATTTCGCTTAGTAACCTGCCATGAAAATTATAGAAGGCAGAAAACAAAGACGTTAAACATTTCTGATAGTGTTTTTTTGTCGTGTCTTTTAGCTTAAGAGGTGAAAGAATCTATGCTAACCTAACATAGGATAAGGAGGGAGTTTGATATAAGTTTAACAAACTGTGGTCAACTCATCAAGGGCGATAACTTATTGATCAGTAAGGAGGCTCGCTGGAATCGCAACGAAATTACTGCCACTACTACTAGCACTACGGTTCTCAGTGCTTTAATTTGTTTTATTTACGTGCTCCATAGTACAGTACTCTACATATTGCGTACTCTACAGTACTGTACTTCCCAACGGTTTACCGCTTCACCGTAGTTGGGATGTGTTCCTGGGTGTCGGATCGCGATGTATAGCGAGGATTTGATCCCCTGGGTCTCCTAAGCCGAGAAGGAGTCCGGCGTTTCCATTCCTAGCTAAAAGTAAACCAATACCAGGATCCGCCACCGTCTTGGTATCAAAGTCGCATGGTGGCAAATCTCCCTCTGATCCACGATGGGGCCTTGGCTGCCTGTGGTGCTGATGACGTGGGGCGAACTTTAGCCAGGCTGACCTCGGGGTTCCAGGGAACCACAGTGGCTTAACCAGCAAATCTCCGAAAAATGGAGATTATGTTGGGGTCCGCACCATCAGTGAGGACGGACCATTCAAGTATCAAGTATTAACTATATACTCTGCAGTATTAATTCTAGAATTGAAAATGATGTTTTTCAGCAGCTTTGGGAATATTTCACTCAATTTGGGAAAGTGGTACGAGTTCGTGTATCACGAAGCTTGAAGGTACTCTGTTTTCTTCCGTTTGCTGTCTTTTTACATAATGAACTTCACTTCAGACGGGTAATTTCAAAGGATGGGCGTACGTTGGTTTTGCGGATAAAGAAGTGGCCGAAATCGCGGCAGAAACGATGAATGGATATTTGATGTTTGAGAAGAGGCTTAGTTGCCGTGTACGTTCTAACTTCCATCTCATTGCCAGTTGTTTAATTTTTTAATGTATGATTGTCCTGTTTTTACCAATGTCTGGAAAGATATTTTTCTCCAATTAATTGTCTTCCAGCTCATGGATCCCAATAAAGTGCCTAGAAGTATGAAATACGGTCCTCGGTATGTCGCTCCGCCACATATGCGAGGTCGAGCTAAAAAAGATGCTTTTCGGCGAAATAAATTTAAATCGGTGGTGCAAGAAGAAAGAGCCAAGGTAACGAAGTAATGAACCAAGGTCTCGGTTTTATTGTATCAGTGTTATTGAAATGCATTTTATTAGTTGTCGTCCTATATTTAAATGCAGTTCTTTATTTGTTATTCCCTGAATTTTCCAGAGACGCCGAGAAGCAGCTCTTAAAAATCGCTTGAATAAACTTAAAGCTTTAGGGATCGACTACGACTATGATGCGGCACTTCCTAGCAAAATTGTATGTCACTTTATGGTAACATGTAATGACTATTTCTCAACAAAAAGACAGTCTTGTTCCCGTTTCCGTCATGGTAACTTATATCAAATCCGATTTAGGCTGGTTCTAACGTAAAGTCTGATGTCGAGAAGTCTGATGAAAAGGGAATCGTTGAGGTCTGGGTACTTTGAAGAAGATGATTATTTTATGCTTCTAGCTGTTCTTACAGTTGTTTTCGTGATAATGGACAGATATTTTGTGTTTTGCATAAAAATTTCAGTCCAGATATTTCAGGTAAAGGGCAAAAGCAGAGTTTCTAAGAAAAAGGTTAAGAACGTGCACGATTGAAGTTAAATTTTCTTGTGTTTAGTATTTTTATGTATCATATTTTATGCAGTTTTTATGATGTTGTTTTTGTTGATATGATTTATAAGTACTTGGTGTTGCTTTCTGTTATTTTGATTGAAATGAGTTATGAATTTACGAATTTACAACCTTTGTTGAAATATTTAATAGGATAAAGGATAAGGTCTTCGACGTTAATCAGTCCCTGGAGGATGCGCCATGCATTCGACTTAAGTATCGTTGGAAGTGATCGAGTGGATATCTGGACTTTACAATGACTTGCGGTGGTCTACCGATGTACCGAGTCAGTACTAATATCCTCCCAGACGAATGTGGTACCAGCTTGCCGGCCACGGAGATATGGAAGGCTCGGTGAGCTTGGGGCGCCTCCCACCACTGCACTACACGCGCGCTTTTGAAATATTTAATGGAAGAATTGCAATCTTACAAGGAAGTCGTAAGTTCTGATTTTGTCCTTCAAGCGTTTCATAAATGAAAATTATAAAGTCAGCTTGATTCTATCATAAAATGTGGAGTTATCGCGACATCAAGATTCCACGTTTACTGTTTTCTTAGTGGTGAAGGATGTATTTGATAAAAGAGCACTTAAATCGCAGCAGAAGGCAGTATTCTCACATACGTGTCATCGTTGGTTCTTGAGACCTTGAATACTTCGATATCGCCTATTCACGAATCACGAAGAACGTCAGAGGTTTAAATCCCAATGTTATATTTATGTATTTATATATGCGTATATATATATATATGTATGTATATATATATATGTATATATATATATATATATATATACTTGATACTTGAGTGGACCGTTCTCGCTGGTTGTGCGGGTCCCAGCATAATCTCCATTCTTTGGAGGTTTGCTGGTTAAGCCAATATGGTTCCCTGGAGTCCAGAGGTCAGCCTGGCCTAAGTCTGCCCCAGGTCTTCACCACCAAGGGCAGTTGCAGCTCTTGTCGATCAGAGGGAGGTTTGCCACCACGCGACTTTGATACCAGGACGGTGGTGGATCCTGGTATTTGTTTACTCTTAGCTAGACTTCCTGATGGAAACGCCGGCCTCCTCAGCTTGGGTGACCCTATTAGGGGATGGATCATCCACTGTACATCGCAGTCCGACACCCATGAACACCTCCCAGTCACGATGAGGCGGTAAACCGCTGGGAGGACATATATATACTTGGATATTTGGATGCCCCGTCTTCAATGGTTGTACGGGCCCCAACATAATTCTCCTTTTTGAAGTTTTGCTATTTAGCCATTAGGTTCCTTGGTGCCCCGGGGTCAGCCTAGCCAATGTTTGTTCCAAGACAGCACCACCACACGCACTCGTTGCCCTTGTGGATCAGAGTGAGATTTGCCACCAGGCGACTAATTTGATACCAGGACGGTGGTGGATCGTTGTATTGGTTTACTCTTAGCTGGGCTTCTTGATCGAAACGTTGGACTCATTCTTAGCTTGGAAGACTGCTGGGGATGAATCCCCCTCCCGCTGTACATCGCAGCTCGACACCCATGAACACCTCCCAGTCACAGTGAGACGATAAATCGCTGGGATATATATAGACATATATATATATTTGGATAGGTAGTACGATGGTAGTGATAACGTTTATCACGCATACAGTGCTCGTTTAACCGTGCGCCAAGCTCACCAAAGGTGCCATCGATGAGGTTGGGGAAAAAGTGGCACTAGACTTCTCTATATGAACGTAATTATTCCAAGCCAGTCGGGAACGGTTTAGCGTGGCTATCTTAGGACTCCAGGAGAATCAGTTGGACTAGCATTCAATAACATTCGCAAAGAAGACGAACATTCTCAAGCAGCAATCAAACCTCCAGGCAGAAGTTCGATTTTAATTTCTGCATGGGAAGATTGGTTCAGTGGATGGTAGCTGCACATCACAATAGTGCAATTGTTGTTCACGCAAATACAAGGTAGTGAAGATTGCAATGTGTGCCGTAACTTTGCATTGTGCTAGTAACAACTCAAAGTTTCTAGTGCTGTGAGCTTCAAAGGATGTGTCTTCAACGGAAGATCGTATAGATTAATAATATTTACACTACAGATATCAGCTAGTGTTTATTAAACCCACTTGAACATGAAGTGTAAGCGAGCTAGAATTTTGTTCCGGGTATGGTGTATGCATGGTTGAATTCATGTGTGTCAAAGAATACCGCCCACGATTGGCTCCATCTTTACTACGAAGGCCGTGTCCCTTGAGTAGAAATGATGTGTACACGGAAGGTATACGTCTACTCTGAAGTAGTGTCGTTAAAGCTGTGGACGGTTGAACACTTGTAAGCATCGCTTACAGTAAACCTCTTCTAGTAATTGCAGATACTCTGGATGAATACTGAAAGTGGCATGCTGGCAAACTCACCTTCTGGTCCTCACTGGATGGTGATTACCTAGTTAAACTGAGGGAAAGGTAAAGTAAGCGGCTCAGCGGTGCAGTAGGGTAACACGTAAGCCTCTGGATGGGGTAGTCACTGGTTCGAATCTGGTTACGGGTCCATCTTTTGCAAATATCTCGGCATCGTAGTGGTTGCATTTCACATTATACCTTGTCGTGAAAAAAATTGTGGGAAGTAGGTAAGAATTTAGACGTTGTGAATAGTTGCTGGACTAAGGTTCACTCGTCGATGGTAACAATGTTGTAAAGATTGTTTGCTGGAACAGTAGTTGAGTAATCTTGGCTTTTATAGCTACAGAACCTGAACATGTTCATCAAATAGTCAACTGAGTAGGTGTCGTCTCCGTCAAGTATTTTCCAAGAAACAATATGGAATATTTAACTGTACGTTGGATCTGGGTCAAGTGTGGCGTGGCGCAGTGGTCGGAGGCACCCAGCAACACAAAGTGAAATCGATCTCGGCGCCCGTGGCCCACCACACCTTCCATCCTTCCGGAGTGGGCAAATTGATACCAGACTTGTTTGGGAGGATAGCAACACTGGTTCGATACATCGGTAGGCCACCGCGAGTCATTGTAAAGGCCATATATGCATTCAGTTACCTTCAACGATGCTTAGTGAAGTCAAATGTATGGCGCATCCCTTAGGGTTTGATCGACTCCGAGAGCTTTATCCTTCTATTTATTCTTTACGTTAGTTCTAACGATAACGGCGTTTGTTTTATAAATTTCACGTTGCTCTCGAATTCTACTCTTCGAAAACTGTCTGGACTTGTACTATTGAGGGGTCTGAGGTTGTGATGTGTTTACGGTTGAGGTGTCATAAATCGGATGCGCCCGAACATGAGGTGAGTCGTATTCATCAACCGGCGATAATCAGACGATCCGTGTGCGATTTGCTGGCGACGACGAGATTGCGCCATCAGCCATCCGTCTCCAACCGCTGGGGACCACCATACATCATCCGAGCATGCCTATTAAGACCATCATACAGAACACATGATACGTATCTATTCATCCATTATCTGGCCACCTAACCTCGCAAGGCCTCGTTCGGCCTCTAAACGGCGCTCGTTCCTTTGTCGGACCGAATCCATTAACAGTTCAGTCTGACACGATTGATTAAAAAAATGACAAATGGGTGCTTTTCCTTTGTTTTATTGTCAAATTATGGTCACATAAGACAGGGTATTCACGCACATTACGTCTGCTTGAGCACCGAAATATTAAATGTTGTTACAGACGATATGAAGCAGTCAAGTGGAAAAGCCTAAAAACTACCACATCTATCCAGCTGCGTACTAATATTCTTGCTTTGCTCAAGAATAAAGTTCTCCTCCTACCATGAGTATAGAAGTATTCTTAAGTGGTTTCGTTGAATTTACGCAAACAATCCCAAAGTTGAAATCATTATTTTTGTAGTAATATTTCGAAACCGACTTTCCTTGAACCTCGGTATCACTAATCAATATGTATTCTTTCTTTGATGAGCTTACACGAGGTTGATAATGATGTTTATTTTCGGCTAACGCTTCGACGTCTTCGTCTTCCTCAGAGTCGATGGTCCTCGCGTGTCATGGTGATAACAAGTGTCCGGTGTCCGGTTCCCAATAACACCGACTTCTGCACGATGCGCGCGATGATTATGTCCGGAAGAAAAACAAGTTGTTATCACCGGACATTATCATTATATCCACCATCAGCATCGTGTATAAAAGGGCATCACTGAGTAAGGATGCCTCAATCGAGGAAATGGCTCACTGAAGAAGACTTGACTCGACACGAAGGCGAAGCTGCCACGTCGAGACGAATAACAAACGAGG